AGTTTCAAGTCTGAAGCCTTGCAAATTTGTCAGCGTGTTGGCCTATTCATCCGCTATCCACCAAGGTATAGTTTGTCAAAATCCATCCATGTTGAGATACCTTTAGACCGCGACTCATGAGAGCCATGTAGGCTGGCGCTGACAGCCCTTGCTATGGGACTTACTGCACAAAAACGAAACTGGGGGCATCATGCACCTACTTCTGGGGCTCACTCCAAAAGTTTCAAGTCTGAAGCCTTGCAAATTTGTCAGCGTGTTGGCCTATTCATCCGCTATCCACCAAGGTATAGTTTGTCAAAATCCATCCATGTTGAGATACCTTTAGACCGCGACTCATGAGAGCCATGTAGGCTGGCGCTGACAGCCCTTGCTATGGGACTTACTGCACAAAAACGAAACTGGGGGCATCATGCACCTACTTCTGGGGCTCACTCCAAAAGTTTCAAGTCAGAAGCCTTGCAAATTTGTCAGCGTGTTGGCCTATTCATCCGCTATCCACCAAGGTATAGTTTGTCAAAATCCATCCATGTTGAGATACCTTTAGACCGCGACTCATGAGAGCCATGTAGGCTGGCGCTGACAGCCCTTGCTATGGGACTTACTGCACAAAAACGAAACTGGGGGCATCATGCACCTACTTCTGGGGCTCACTCCAAAAGTTTCAAGTCAGAAGCCTTGCAAATTTGTCAGCGTGTTGGCCTATTCATCCGCTATCCACCAAGGTATAGTTTGTCAAAATCCATCCATGTTGAGATACCTTTAGACCGCGACTCATGAGAGCCATGTAGGCTGGCGCTGACAGCCCTTGCTATGGGACTTACTGCACAAAAACGAAACTGGGGGCATCATGCACCTACTTCTGGGGCTCACTCCAAAAGTTTCAAGTCAGAAGCCTTGCAAATTTGTCAGCGTGTTGGCCTATTCATCCGCTATCCACCAAGGTATAGTTTGTCAAAATCCATCCATGTTGAGATACCTTTAGACCGCGACTCATGAGAGCCATGTAGGCTGGCGCTGACAGCCCTTGCTATGGGACTTACTGCACAAAAACGAAACTGGGGGCATCATGCACCTACTTCTGGGGCTCACTCCAAAAGTTTCAAGTCAGAAGCCTTGCAAATTTGTCAGCTTTGGCCTATTCATCCGCTATCCACCAAGGTATAGTTTGTCAAAATCCATCCATGTTGAGATACCTTTAGACCGCGACTCATGAGAGCCATGTAGGCTGGCGCTGACCCCTTGCTATGGGACTTACTGCACAAAAACGAAACTGGGGGCATCATGCACCTACTTCTGGGCTCACTCCAAAAGTTTCAAGTCAGCCTTGCAAATTTGTCAGCGTGTTGGCCTATTCATCCGCTATCCACCAAGGTATAGTTTGTCAAAATCCATCCATGTTGAGATACCTTTAGACCGCGACTCATGAGAGCCATGTAGGCTGGCGCTGACAGCCCTTGCTATGGGACTTACTGCACAAAAACGAAACTGGGGGCATCATGCACCTACTTCTGGGGCTCACTCCAAAAGTTTCAAGTCAGAAGCCTTGCAAATTTGTCAGCGTGTTGGCCTATTCATCCGCTATCCACCAAGGTATAGTTTGTCAAAATCCATCCATGTTGAGATACCTTTAGACCGCGACTCATGAGAGCCATGTAGGCTGGCGCTGACAGCCCTTGCTATGGGACTTACTGCACAAAAACGAAACTGGGGGCATCATGCACCTACTTCTGGGGCTCACTCCAAAAGTTTCAAGTCAGAAGCCTTGCAAATTTGTCAGCGTGTTGGCCTATTCATCCGCTATCCACCAAGGTATAGTTTGTCAAAATCCATCCATGTTGAGATACCTTTAGACCGCGACTCATGAGAGCCATGTAGGCTGGCGCTGACAGCCCTTGCTATGGGACTTACTGCACAAAAACGAAACTGGGGGCATCATGCACCTACTTCTGGGGCTCACTCCAAAAGTTTCAAGTCAGAAGCCTTGCAAATTTGTCAGCGTGTTGGCCTATTCATCCGCTATCCACCAAGGTATAGTTTGTCAAAATCCATCCATGTTGAGATACCTTTAGACCGCGACTCATGAGAGCCATGTAGGCTGGCGCTGACAGCCCTTGCTATGGGACTTACTGCACAAAAACGAAACTGGGGGCATCATGCACCTACTTCTGGGGCTCACTCCAAAAGTTTCAAGTCAGAAGCCTTGCAAATTTGTCAGCGTGTTGGCCTATTCATCCGCTATCCACCAAGGTATAGTTTGTCAAAATCCATCCATGTTGAGATACCTTTAGACCGCGACTCATGAGAGCCATGTAGGCTGGCGCTGACAGCCCTTGCTATGGGACTTACTGCACAAAAACGAAACTGGGGGCATCATGCACCTACTTCTGGGCTCACTCCAAAAGTTTCAAGTCAGAAGCCTTGCAAATTTGTCAGCGTGTTGGCCTATTCATCCGCTATCCACCAAGGTATAGTTTGTCAAAATCCATCCATGTTGAGATACCTTTAGACCGCGACTCATGAGAGCCATGTAGGCTGGCGCTGACAGCCCTTGCTATGGGACTTACTGCACAAAAACGAAACTGGGGGCATCATGCACCTACTTCTGGGGCTCACTCCAAAAGTTTCAAGTCAGAAGCCTTGCAAATTTGTCAGCGTGTTGGCCTATTCATCCGCTATCCACCAAGGTATAGTTTGTCAAAATCCATCCATGTTGAGATACCTTTAGACCGCGACTCATGAGAGCCATGTAGGCTGGCGCTGACAGCCCTTGCTATGGGACTTACTGCACAAAAACGAAACTGGGGGCATCATGCACCTACTTCTGGGGCTCACTCCAAAAGTTTCAAGTCAGAAGCCTTGCAAATTTGTCAGCGTGTTGGCCTATTCATCCGCTATCCACCAAGGTATAGTTTGTCAAAATCCATCCATGTTGAGATACCTTTAGACCGCGACTCATGAGAGCCATGTAGGCTGGCGCTGACAGCCCTTGCTATGGGACTTACTGCACAAAAACGAAACTGGGGGCATCATGCACCTACTTCTGGGGCTCACTCCAAAAGTTTCAAGTCAGAAGCCTTGCAAATTTGTCAGCGTGTTGGCCTATTCATCCGCTATCCACCAAGGTATAGTTTGTCAAAATCCATCCATGTTGAGATACCTTTAGACCGCGACTCATGAGAGCCATGTAGGCTGGCGCTGACAGCCCTTGCTATGGGACTTACTGCACAAAAACGAAACTGGGGGCATCATGCACCTACTTCTGGGGCTCACTCCAAAAGTTTCAAGTCAGAAGCCTTGCAAATTTGTCAGCGTGTTGGCCTATTCATCCGCTATCCACCAAGGTATAGTTTGTCAAAATCCATCCATGTTGAGATACCTTTAGACCGCGACTCATGAGAGCCATGTAGGCTGGCGCTGACAGCCCTTGCTATGGGACTTACTGCACAAAAACGAAACTGGGGGCATCATGCACCTACTTCTGGGGCTCACTCCAAAAGTTTCAAGTCAGAAGCCTTGCAAATTTGTCAGCGTGTTGGCCTATTCATCCGCTATCCACCAAGGTATAGTTTGTCAAAATCCATCCATGTTGAGATACCTTTAGACCGCGACTCATGAGAGCCATGTAGGCTGGCGCTGACAGCCCTTGCTATGGGACTTACTGCACAAAAACGAAACTGGGGGCATCATGCACCTACTTCTGGGGCTCACTCCAAAAGTTTCAAGTCAGAAGCCTTGCAAATTTGTCAGCGTGTTGGCCTATTCATCCGCTATCCACCAAGGTATAGTTTGTCAAAATCCATCCATGTTGAGATACCTTTAGACCGCGACTCATGAGAGCCATGTAGGCTGGCGCTGACAGCCCTTGCTATGGGACTTACTGCACAAAAACGAAACTGGGGGCATCATGCACCTACTTCTGGGGCTCACTCCAAAAGTTTCAAGTCAGAAGCCTTGCAAATTTGTCAGCGTGTTGGCCTATTCATCCGCTATCCACCAAGGTATAGTTTGTCAAAATCCATCCATGTTGAGATACCTTTAGACCGCGACTCATGAGAGCCATGTAGGCTGGCGCTGACAGCCCTTGCTATGGGACTTACTGCACAAAAACGAAACTGGGGGCATCATGCACCTACTTCTGGGGCTCACTCCAAAAGTTTCAAGTCAGAAGCCTTGCAAATTTGTCAGCGTGTTGGCCTATTCATCCGCTATCCACCAAGGTATAGTTTGTCAAAATCCATCCATGTTGAGATACCTTTAGACCGCGACTCATGAGAGCCATGTAGGCTGGCGCTGACAGCCCTTGCTATGGGACTTACTGCACAAAAACGAAACTGGGGGCATCATGCACCTACTTCTGGGGCTCACTCCAAAAGTTTCAAGTCAGAAGCCTTGCAAATTTGTCAGCGTGTTGGCCTATTCATCCGCTATCCACCAAGGTATAGTTTGTCAAAATCCATCCATGTTGAGATACCTTTAGACCGCG